TCGATTTTTTTCTTGCTTTATTTACGTGTAAATTATTCCCTATATTATTGGCTATCGCATTTATCTTCGATTTTTTAAATTTCTTAATTTAATTTTAAATTTCTAAAGAAATTAAAAGAAATTAAAGAAAAAAACTGAATGAAATTGTTTGAATTTCTTTTATTATTTTTATTATTTTTTAATGCTAAATATAAAGTTGAAGCTTCTGGGGATGAGATATCCGAAGACTTTGCAACAAAATTGAGTTTGTCTGGAAATATTGAGAATTTAGAAAATCCTCAAGGAAAGTCTGTAGGAGGTAAAAAAGTGTTTCCGCGTTTTATGAGTTCTTGGAAAATTTCTTTGAATTTATCTCTAAACTTATCTTTATATTAGCTATCCTTATATTACTATAGCTACATATCCTTATATTTTCTTTTTTTCGAAATCTCAATTAAACAAACGAATTAATTTTTGTTTAATTCCCGAGTCTAAATAAAATAAGGGCAATAAAGTAGGAAAAACAAATTTAGATCTCTGTTTCTGATCTGGGATAATTATAAAATGGTAGTCAGGGTTGTTCGGGACCATAGCGAGTTTTGCTCCACTGGAGGTTACTTTTAAGCAAAACTTGGAAATCCCATCCCGATTAAGCTAAATAAAACTCGAATTTCGAACTAGAAAGCTCCAACGCCGCAGACTTATTTCTTAAAACTCTGCTCTGAAATTCTTGAAAAATTGAAGAATCTGTGCCCTAATGCATAATAATTACCTAAAATTCTTTGAAATTTTCTAATCTACTTATAAATTATTTAAATGAAAGTTTAGGTAGTCGCCAAGTAGCTGAAAGAACAGGTTAAATTTATCATAAAAATTAACTTTTTAAACTGAAAAAACTTTAAATTCTTTTATCTAGCCTATAAGTATAGATAATATACATACTATTTATCTAGGCCAGGACAATATTGTTTATATAAAAGTTCGATGATACTTTCGAGTTTTCGTTATAATAAAGCCGATTATTTATATTGCCAAAATTTAATTTTTTAGGAAGTAAAAGAACTCATTCGCGCAGTGCCCGACGAAAGAAACTTGGAGATATCATAAGACAAGGAAGCAACAAGGTGAGAAATATGTTGTTTGATTTCAGGATTATATGTATAACCCTACCAATACATTTCGATACCTTACGATATCTGCTCCAAAAATAATTATAGTTTTATAATTTATCTATAATTCTTAATATTATCTTAAAAGATATGTTCTATGAAATTATTTCTAAGGAAATATTTTAACTCCTTGACTTATCCTAAACAATTTTTTACGCCATTGGCAAATTATTTAGAAAATAACAAGCTACGAAGAATCAACTACTAAAACTGAACATTCTAATGCTTCTGCTTCAACCTTGGGTGATCGAATTTTGAATCCAAATGCTGAAGAATTCATACCTAGAGGTGGACATATTAACCTGACAAATAATTTAATAACTTGTGAAACTGATATGTACTAAGAATCTGAAACTTGAAAATTAACAAATTATTGTATACGATGTTCTCATGCTGTGGAAAAATTGTGGATGGGAGATGGAATTGAACCATCAAGGAATGAGCCCAAACCGTAAGCACAACCGACTGTGCCACCATCCAACCCGATGTTGGGTTATTTATTTTCATTTATGTTCTTTCTGCAAGTGCGGACACAACACTCCTTCCGCCTTGCGAAACCAAGCGTCCTCGCTTGTTGCTTGTCTTCCAATAACTACAACTGTTTTCGATTTTTGGGAGAGCACACACAGAAACCCATTTGTGGCATTTTTTTTTTCTAGCTGCTCAATCAGAGTCTTACGCTTCTCTCTAGCTGCTCACACAGGGCTGCTCTCTCTAGCTGCTCACACTCAAGGAATGAGCCCAAACCGTAAGCACAACCGACTGTGCCACCATCCAACCCGATGTTGGGTTATTTATTTTCATTTATGTTCTTTCTGCAAGTGCGGACACAACACTCCTTCCGCCTTGCGAAACCAAGCGTCCTCGCTTGTTGCTTGTCTTCCAATAACTACAACTGTTTTCGATTTTTGGGAGAGCACACACAGAAACCCATTTGTGGCATTTTTTTTTCTAGCTGCTCAATCAGAGTCTTACGCTTCTCTCTAGCTGCTCACACAGAGTCTTACGCTTTCTCTGGCTGCTCACACAGAGTCTTACGCTTCTAATTTCTGCCAGCACACAGCTCAGGCGATACTCACAGGGTCTTCTCCTTATTTCTCTAGACAGTTAAAGTATGTCTGATCATCACAGCATTTGACGGTTCGCTTAAGTTTCCTCAGGCTAAGCCTGGACGGGTCGTGGCACCATTATTGTATACGATGTTCTCATGCTGTGGAAAAATTGTGGATGGGAGATGGAATTGAACCATCAAGGAATGAGCCCAAACCGTAAGCACAACCGACTGTGCCACCATCCAACCCGATGTTGGGTTATTTATTTTCATTTATGTTCTTTCTGCAAGTGCGGACACAACACAAATTACAAATTTAAAGGAAGTTAAGGGAAAATTAAAATTTAAGATAAAGGAATGATTGAAGAAACAAAAGGAGAAGGAAGTTCTGCAACTAAAGCACGTAGACATCGACGTAAGAAAATTCAACAAGGTCTAGAGCACGCAAATTGTAAATAATTTTTTAATTAAAAGAGCTTAGTTTAATTATTATTAACAGATAGTTTGTTTTTTAAAATTATTTCCGGTTAATGTAAAAAATTAATAAAAAATGATATTTCATTCATTTATTCGGCTTATAAACCTAGCTTTGAATGAATAGGTTGTGATGCCTTGTTTGAATGTTTTTCAATAGGGTTTGTGGGATATACCGCTTAATCGATCTCTAGATGGGTCCTTAACTGACTGAGTAACCAACTAGTTACTAGAAGTATAGCTTTTCTCCAACCTTCTCTTTTGATCGGGATTTCTTTTATCAACATAAATATTTACAGAATTTATATAAAATAATAAAATTTTAATTTTAGCCGTAACGAAAGATGTTATTAATGAACTTGGTATAAATCCGGATGATAAAGAGATCAAGGAGATGATTAACGATGCAATTTTTCCGAATTGTAAGGGGTTTTAGATATAATTATTGATAGAGGTTAATTATTGATAGACCTTACACAATGGGAAATAACCTAAATTTAAAAATAATTTTTTTCCTTTAAAATTAAAGCCTCAACTGGTCGACAGAAATCTACGAAAGATAAATCACTTCGTTCTGGCTCTTCTAGTAGTCACTCAAAACAACCTAAAAATCCGCAGTAAATTTTCTGTTTAATTAGTCTTTTTTTTTAATTTTTAGTCATCATGGAGGATCTTCTTCTGTTCAGCCTCCACATGGCATGAATTTCCAAACCGTCTATGACCCTCATGTCCATAACCCTCATCAAGCGTACATGCAAGGAACTATTTATCCACCATCCAACATTCATTATCAACCAATAGTTAATCCAATGCCTGGGCCACTTCATGGGAACTTTCCCATAGATTACTCTTACCCTGCTCATCCGTTTATTGGCAGTCATCCATTTATTGGCAATCCTGTGCAAATGCCGCCAGGATATTATACGCTTCCTCACGGTGCCACCGCACCTACTGATCCAACATACCAAGATAACTCAGCAAATTATTTAAATCAACCTCCATATCACTAGTACTACACCTTTTTGGCTCTTGGAGTAAACCGATGAAATTTTATTTTTTGAAGGATTTTGGAAAAGAAAAAATGATGATATGTAGATATTTTTTTAAATTTTAAAAATTGTTGATTATTTATTTAATCATTCTTTAGCCAGTAGATAAAACAGAAAATTTATCAGCTGTATTAAACAAAACACTCTCTCGGCAAAACTCGAACTAGGATAAGCGACCAAACAATTAGTCACCTAAGTTTAAAAATATTGTTATTATAGGTACTCTCAGAATAGTTTCTGATATATTTATAAATTTAAGTAGGTCATTTAAAGTATTTTTTCTCTAATTTCAAAAGAATGGCCAGTTTCATTTTATAAATCCCATCCTCGTTTTCTAAAGTGTGAGCCGGTAACTGTGAACTTGTTTCAAATTTCAAATTTATTCATAACTCCAAAAGATATACAAACTAGAATATACCGTTAATATGGAGTAAATTATTTTAATAAATCAAAAATTAATTGAAACATAAAAATAAATGAAAAAAAATACATAGTATTGAAGTTTGAACAAATAAACATTTTTCTTCCAATAATAATCGGAAAATAATTCTTTAAAAATTAAATTATAAAAAATGTTTATTTGAAAACACGTTTAATTTGAAAACGAGTAAAAAAAGTAAAGCTTAAAGGTTGCCAAAGAGTTATAAAAAACTTTACATTTTTATTATGCAAATTAGAAATCTCGTATTTGTAGTAAATACAGCTAGTTTTGTCAACTTCATTGAAGCTTTTCCCTTCCTTAATCTTCGTTGCTTTATCAATCATATTTGGACGTAAACATCGAATGGATCTAATGTCGATATCTGCTATCATTTTACGAATGTCAGAGGATGTTTTTGTGTGCTAAAATTTTTGAATCTTTTAAATATTATTATTTATATTCTAATAAAGAAGAGCCAGAATGATCCCTAAAGTTGAAAATTTTTTATACCAGAAGAACCCTGGTAGGGATAAAGCTACAGAACAAGGGTGGGTTTAGTCTCGTATCTCGTATTTTGTCACGAGAACCGAGAATATTTTCAATCTGCTTTCGAAAAAATGTCAAAAATTTGGGAGTATTTTAAGAAACAAGAAAAAAAAATTGGATACCTGAAAAACATTATTTTTTAACAAATACCGTATTTTCTCGATTAATTCCACTCCCTCGAATAATTTCTCTCCCTCGATTAATTCCCCATGCCAAGGAAGGGTTGAAAAAATAATTCCTCAGGGGAATTAATCGAGAAAATACGGTAGGCGTTTTTCAACAAATAAAAGGGGACAAGAACCCTAGTTTAATTAAAGTATTTTACTCACATTTATAAGTTTATCAAAGTAATTTATCTCTAATGTCAAGCTGTTAATTGCAATTTGAGGGATTTGATCCCCTCCTTTCAACAAAAATTCTAAAATTATTTTTTCATATTCTTGGGTGTATAAACGATGATTTGAAAAGGCATTAACATTAACAATTCCAGAAATTGATAAATTTTTTTGAAAAAGTTTGAAAGCATTTTTGTCGAATAAAGGTTTGCAAAGTGTTAATTGAAGAATATTTTCACACAAAAATTGAATTGGTTTATCGTAATCAAAAAGTAATTCAAAAATTTTGGGATTGAATATAACACGGTCAAATTCAATTTTTTCAAAGAAGCACTGTGAAAGTTGATAAAATACACAATAAAGAATTTGCATGTCCAAGATATTTTTTGGGTAGATTGGCAGATAAAGATAAATAGGTTTACAGCCTAAATATTCATATTAACTTTTATTAATAGATTTTGACCCATTTAATTAAATCAATCAAAATTATAAAACCAAAATTATGAATTTTTTAGAGCCCATTTTCCGAAAAATCCTTGAGCCCAATTTTCCAGAGCCCAAATTTATGGGTCGTCCGAGCATGTAGTTTAACTCTAGTGATGTTAATGTTCCCACCTTTCTCTTTAAATTTAATAGTAAATGCTTTCAATGTTTTATAGCTGTAACAAATTAAAACCCTTCCAAATATTGCAGAACACCACTAAAATAAATAAAACTAAATTAACTTTAGATTCAAAGTTTTTCTTAAAAATAATGACTATAAACAAAGGAATCGAAAATCATTCCTCAAATAACTTGAAATTTTATCAAATGATTATTTTTTCTTAAAAATCCCTTATTATTTAAGTGACTCTTCGTTCTAGAAAGCCGGCTAAGAGGGCTGAGAGAGCACGTCAAGAAAGATAAAAAATGGCCTCGAGGAGTGTCGGTTCAGAAAAAGGCCTAAATACAGAGGTTTTTCACTCGGTTCTTTAACTTTGTTCCGGCTATCCGAAGATTCTCTAAGGAACGACAACCCTAATATGTCCGAACATTTTAGAGAAAAATACTTCTTTTTGTTACCTTTCTATTCAATTCTTCACTCAGTTCAAAATTGAAAGGTTCAGGTTTTATAATATTTCCAGTATATTCACCTCTAGTTATTTGCATTGAGGAAAATTTTTGTCTTGGTAATTCTTTTAAGTATTTATTAATTAATTCGAAAAAGTGCCGATTTATTTGTTGGATAACATTCATTTGATTAAAGTTGAGACATTTAATAATATCAATTTTTGTTTCAACAGGAAAATTTAAATACATTTTTTTGAGATTTAACAGTACCCTTTGGATCTAAAATTAGCCAAATTATTAGTTTGATATTTTTAATATTGAATATTTTAAATGTTATGAAATTTAACATAAAATAAGAACAACGAGGTGGCAAAGCTGTTAGGTACAAAAAATCGACATTAGATCAGAAATTGAAAGAAAAATATTGAAGTCAACGTGTAAATTTCGAGTGATCAGTCGCAAAAATTTTGATCGCAAAGACCCGATAATGACTGAAGGGGTGAAATTTCATGGAAAATATTTTGGTGCTGAAATTTTTAATGTAATAATATTTTTAAAAAAATCAAAAAATAGAGTGAATCTATATTTCAGAAGCAGATCCTATACTATTATATTATCCCATGGGTAAATTTTTTCAATAAATTTCTGAATAAATTACAAACAAACTTACATAATACAAATAAAAATTTCTTTAAATGAAAATATTTTTTATAAATAATCTGTAAACTAAAGTAAAATATTTTTTGAAAAGTTTATTAGGTTAAAAATATTAGCCACGCCCCTTTTTTAAAGTATTGTTTGAATTAAGACAAATAAAACTGTTAGTGGATAAAAAACAAAGAGAATACATAAACCAAACAAAGGTATAACAAAAATGTCAGATCTAAATGTGACCTGTTGTAAATAAAAAAATATTCATATAAAATAATTAAAAAAGGGGCGTGGCTTTTATTCAAATATACATAAATATTTTTTGCCATTCTAATAAACTTTAGTTGATTTTAGAGATTGTTTACATTTAAATATATTCATTTTCTATTAAAGGAACCAAATTACACATAGATACTTTAAATTTATTTCCAAACTCAATATTTCAGTCTAAGAAAACAATGCAAAGCCTTCCTGTTGAATTAAAACTTAAAATTCTTAAATATCTTGATTACGAATCTGTATATTCTGTTAAACGGACAAATCGTCAATTTAATGCAATTATTGATAAATATAAAGAGGAATTGCCCAAAAAAGAATTTTATTCTTTGACATTAAAAGATTTATCTGATAATGCTAAAGATTGGTATGTACACAAATTATACACGCCAAAAATTTCAATGAACGATAGTGAACGTGAAAAAAAGGTAATTGAAGGTCGGGGCTTTCAATTGGAGAGGGTATTTCCTATTAGAGTAAATATGGTATTTAAATTTTTTAATTAATTTAAGTGGATGAACATGCTTAAAAATGGACAATTTAATCAATTTTATATTTATATTTGTTCGGATAATGATAGGAATTATCAATCAGACCTTGAATCTGTACGCGTTCTTCTAATAAAACGATGTTTGTTTTATATTTTATAATTATGCTTCATTGCAGTATTGCCGCGGGTATAAACGATCTTCGGGTACTGGTTTTGGGTTATAAAATTTTCATTTCGGGTCACGGGTTGGCAAAAATTTCGGGTACGATGAACCATCCTTAATATTAGCGGATCATCAATTCTTTTCATATCGCCCTCTTTCTATATTTTCTCTTTCTACAATTTTTTAAATTTATTTTAAAAAATCGGGTAAGGCTAAGTTTTCGGGTAGAAATTTCAGGTTTCAACCAATTTCGGATCACGGGTTTCGGGTTGGAAAATTTTCTTTTCATGTATCGGGTTTCGTGTACTAAAATGCCGGGTATCGGGTTTCGGGCGGCAACCCTGTTTCATTGCTTAATTATTTTGTGTATAGTGAATTGGGGTGGATATACGTCATAAACCTTACTGATCGTAAAAATAAAGATTATTTAAATATATTATAGCAAAAAGAATAATGAATTTAATGTTTGGTACTTGCCAAAGAAATTCTTTCTATATTAATATACCTTTTCGCCTTCAAACAATTGAACAAGTTCGTGACGCCTATTATTGGTTGAAACAACTTTCAACGTGTAGATTCATTCATACAGGATTTGATAATTTTATTTTCAATCCGGAAATGCTTAAATTAATTTTTGAGATGATTCAGAATTAATTCAATTTTACTGTAAAAATTCTTATTTATTGCTTAACGAACCGAATTATAATAACTCGGCTTTGAAATTTGCAGCTGGTCATTTGCAACAGTGTAAAAATTTGTGTTTAAATGTTAAGGGAGTTAATGTAGGTTAATTGTGATATTTAATTAATCATAGATACAATTAGAATTGGGATAGTGTCGTCACCTCTTGGTCAGAAAAAAGATTGTAAAGAAAAACTGCAATTAATAATGATCTAGTAGATATCATGAAATTACTCTATATTTAGGCCCGATTGTGAAGACTTTATTTAATATAATAAAGACCTAATTTTATATAGTTTAATATTTTAACAAATCCTTAACATTTTAGGAATTTACAGATGTTGTAAAATTTTTGTTAAATAGCGATGTTCAAATTCTTCTATACCTAGTCACTCTTCCAGAATGCGAGATTTAATTATTCAAGTATAATATTTTAATTTATTAAATTTTTACAATACACATAAGTACTGGATATTTGTAGTTTACGACTTTACTCAATTTATATACCTAGAATTCCTTGACATAAAAAATATACAACCCTAAATTTCTACAACTTTCATGTGGGTTTTAGAATTCAGTCGAAATCACTTTCGACTGAAATTATGCTAGTTATTGATATGAATGGAATAACCATACATAAAAATTTTTAAAAAATAAAATATTCTTTTAATAGCATGCCTTAACATCTACTGATTGTTCAAAGATGGTCGGTGAAATTAAATTTCATTCAATTTATTGGACTCGTCCCGTTTTGCTATCTAAAGCTGAAAAGATTGATGAAGGAGAAAGTCTTAGTAGCAAAAAATATACTAAAAAAGAACAGCAGCATTATTATCAGCCTCCACAAGATGAACGTTTTAAATTTGTCAAATACGAATTAATTAATAAACACAATCCAAGAATCAAATTTTTATTAACTTTGTGGTTTCCAATTGGATCTGAGCGTATTTCAGTTTTTAAAATTAAGCGAATGAATTGATGAAATTTTATTTTTAACAAAATTTTTCTCATATATTATGATGTCTAACAATTTAAGTTTGATAAACTTGTTTTGATTTTTATAAGTGAGTACTTTAATTTTCATTCCTTTGGATGAATATTAAAATAAGGGGGGATATGTACTACATTCGAATCTTGTTCTAAATTAAAGTACTAGACATGTGTAAATTTTGTTGTTCAATGGTGAAGTTACCCTCAATTACCCTCAATTTAACGATACCCTCAATTTAAAATACCTTTCTTAAATACGTAAACTAATAATATGCCAAAAAAATCCTTGGATATTACTCCAAAATATTCTCAGCTATTAGTATATACTAACATAATTTCACCAAGAAAATTTTTATTAATTGCCCTATCTGAGCTCTGCCTCCTCTCTCTGCCTCCACTTACCCACCATTCACTGAAAAATTATTTTTCGTGCCATTGAGTGTGGGCCATTTAGCTTTTTATTGTGAAAGTAAAAAGCTTGGCATCCTTTTTATTGAGTACAAGACGAAAAAATATATTTAAAGAAAATTTCCTTCATTTTACAAACCTTTCAATGTATTTTGCATAAAATTAAGGAAAGGAATTGAGATATTGTTTCTGGATATTCAGACATTATTAGGACCCTTGTGGTTTAAAAAAAATTATTTCGGGTTCGACGATAATACTTTTCTGAAGTGTTATAGATTTAAATTTAGGTTTTTGACTCTAAAAAATTATTGAAAATTTAAAATTATTTTTTTAGTTGAATTTTTACTTGTTCTAATAATCATACGTGTTATTGATATATGCTACATAATTATAATATTTTTTATTTTTTTCCACATTTTGCCCGATTTTACCCTATTTTCGCCACATTTTAAAGTGACTGCGCCATATATTACAGGGTGACCAAAAAGTTATGGGGGCAGTATTTATGACATAACTTGGTAATAGTGTCGTTTCCAGTCCCCATTTTTTCCTCCAAATTTATTACCCTATGTTTTTACGGAATGGTCAAATTTTCCCCTTTCTTTCATCAAATTTGCCTTTCCATATTTTGCCTAAAAACAATCAAAAAGATTAATTTCTTAT